TAGTGCGAAGTTCAAATTTGACCAATAACAATTTTCTTTATAATTTGATTGCTCAAATTTAAACTGAGCACCTGATAATTGCTGTCAAATTAATTTTCGATCATTTAAATTATCTGAAATATTTTAAACAAATTTGTATTCTGTGAGACAATGTGTCACACAAATTGAGGTTCGATAAAATTTAATTTCTGGCAAATTAATTTTCAATTCATTTCAAGCAATAAAATTCCTGCAACATTAATAATCAGTGTAATTAAAACTTTGCAAAATTAAAAATTCAACAATCTAATATTCTACTAAATAAGGTTCTATCAAATCAGAATTCTAAAAAATTTGTTTTAGAGTTTATTCATAAGTCCCCAAATATACATTTTAAACAAAATTTTTTATTTAATTAAATTATTTATTTTCATTTTCATTTAAACAAATTTGTTTTTCATTGAAACAGGTAAATTGCGCTCTTTGCAAACAACTTTACTTTTAGACCATAAAAAAATTGATGAATATAATTTCAGAGGTATACAAACACCGAGACTAAATGGAAAGGGGTCTATTGCCTCCAAAATAAAGAAGTTATGGGAGAAATTAGGAAAATATAAAATAACGGTCGAAGAATTCCTAACCATTACTTCATATGTTAGTGGAGAACCAATTGCTGAATATTTTAATGTATATATAAACAGCGTGAATGATGAAGAAACAGGTATTTATACTACTTATTAGAGTGCATAAATATTTTCCAAATAAGACTTGTTAGCCCGTGTGGGGTTGCTGGTCCCCCATCGGGCGCCTCCCTAGGTGGTGGATAAGGGAAGCCTTCTGTGAGGGGATGTTGCCAAGTGATTGTCTCAGCCCCTCACAGAAGGTGCCGGTTTATCCGGGATGAACCAAAACCAGCAAAACACGAGTATCATGAGCGAAAGTAAAACCATGGAACACGACCTGGGGGGTAACCAGTCCCTCACTGGTTCCGACCGTCAAGCGCATGGCGTGGGGGCAGTGACCAGTGGCCCTTGGATACAGGCGGGCAACAACGCTTTGTTAGTTCCACGGATCATCGTGGAGAGAATCGATGGAGTACCCCCGACCATCGGGGGTGGAAGTTTGCAGAGAAGAGGAAGTTCTTCTAGCCTCTTGAGTGTGAGCAGTACTGTTAGTGCTGCCAGCATGATCACTTCGGAGACTGACGCGGAGGCCATCGACGAAGAACGCGACAAATGCGTGAAGTCGAGAGCTGAGGAAGCACAAATTCTCGAAAAGATGGGAGAAGAAGTCCAGAAGATGATTCGCTGTTTGGACGTTCAAAAGAACGTCAACCGCACAATAAAGGATGGGTTGAAAAACCTTGAATCCTTTGTTGCGGAGGCAAAAAAGAAGCATCTGGAAGGGGACAAGTGTGACGATAGCCTCAGAGGTTGTCTGGAAAATGCGGAAGAGAACCGTAGGATCAGGATTGTGAAGAGAGTTCGCGTGCAGGATCGCGTAATTAGACGAGCAATCGTGGCGACCAAAAAACGCGAACGAAGCCCAAGTAGTCCAGAGGATACGAAAAGGCAGGAAGAAAAGAAGAAGAAGGAGAGTACTCCTCCGGGAATGACGGACGTGAAGGCAGAAGAAGCGCCGAAGCTGTCACGTCCTAAGTACCGAAATGCGACAAGGGGATCCACAATGGTGATCCGAGTCGCCAAAGGAATGACGTATGCTGACGTTCTGGGTAAGCTCCGTATGGAGGTCGACCCGGACGTCAGCCACACGACGGTTGTGGGAGCGAGGCCTACCAAGAGGGGGGACCTTCTGATTAAAATCAGAGGCGACTCCGACAAGGGGGCATTCACCGCCGATGTTGCTAAGGCGGTAGGAAGCATGGGTAAGGTGCAGTCGTCGGATCGAAGGGTTACACTTGAGATCCGCGATTTGGATTGCCTTACCCAGGAAGCAGAAGTCCAGCAAGTGCTGGAAAAGGAGCTCGGGAAGCCAGGAAGCAGGAAGGTGACGGTCCTGGGACCCAACCAGCGAGGGATGAAGCTTGCGGTTGTAGTCACCAACCAAGAAGAGGCGGACAGGCTGGAAGAATTGGGGCGCATAAAGGTGGGTTTTATGTGTTGCCCAATCAGGAAGAGAGTTATGGTCGTGAGGTGCCATCGCTGCCTCGGGTACGGCCATATAGGAAGCAGCTGAAAGGCGACGGACAGATCGGCTGCGTGCTTTAAGTGCGGAGTAGCCGGTCACAAGTTCGGAAATTGCAAAGGAAGCCCAAGTTGTTTCCTATGCAAGGAAAAGTTTGGCGACAAGGCGTCCATCAGCCACATCGCCGGAAGCGGAGCATGCGGAGTCTTCCGAACGGCCCTAGAGGAAGCGAAGAAGACTCTCGCAAGGACCAAAAATAAACGGGTCAGTAAGTAGAGGCACGTCAGGTTCGCGTAAGCGACAATACGGCGACCCCATCCACGAAGACTAAAGCCTGACGGTAGTTCCGTGGATGGAAAACAACATCATTGGTCGCAGAAATAGGGTTCTTTTAGTGCGGTAACACCTATGGTGAGTCCCACACTACCCAACTTGTAACAGATGAGTTGGGTGTCCATAAAGGATTTTTTGACCCTGTCGTTGGAACTATACGCATAACCTTTATTTTTTTAAAATCGTTATGTTGATAATTACAATGATGGGGGCCCTGCAGTAAACAAAAATAAAAAAAAAATAAGACTTGTTAGAATTTTTATGTTTTTTTATGTTTCTTCCATTTTGACTCTCGAATGATCGAAACTTTCGATCATTTTGAGTGTAGACGTTTTGAATTGTCGATTACAATCAAATATTTAATATTAATGAAAATATGGATGATGTTATTGCAGATGAAATCGAAGAAGAATATCTCGACGACGAAGACCTCTACAATGAGCCTGAAAATGATGAAGAATTCTTACCTTCTTCATCATTTTCATTTATAAGAATAATATAATTTCTTTGGTTTTAATTTAAGTCTTTGTTTCCCTTTTATTCATTATTATAGATATATTATCTGTCCATCGAGAGTTTGCCCTCGGTCGCGCAGTTTTTTTCTCTGAGGGCGTTAAAAAACTTAAAAATGGCGTTTCCGTAATTTTTTTATCGGAAAAATAGCCAATGACAATCGCTTCCGTCTCCTACCTTTCCACACGGTCTTAGGCCCTCACGAGTCAAAGGGTAATTTATGACCTTTATACCTAAAAGGGACATTCAAATGGTAATGACTTAATAAAGAAGACAAAGTTTTTTAATTTTGTTCTTACAAAATTAAAAATTTTATTTTTGAAATTCTTATTTTATTGTGATTTTAACAGTATGTTGTTTTACTATAATACATTAAAATTTAAATAATTCACAAATTCAGTGATTAATGAAATGTTTGTATGTACACATAGCTTTTAGAATTTATTATAAACTTTTAATTTAACTGAATTATTAATGTAAGGTTGTATTTTTAATTATTGTTAATTATGATTAATTAATTGATATACATAATCTTGTTTTATTGAAGTTATAATAATAATAATAATAATTTTTTTTCTTTTTGGGGGTTAGGAGGAGACGTGGAAAATGCTGTTACGCACGCGGTGTGGCACTCGGGCTATCCTGGTTTTTCCAAAGGCCCCATACCCACTAAAAACCATAGGGACGTTACAACTCTTCCCGTGAAAAAACCTCCTATTCTTCGCCTAACATGAGCCACCGGTATCCGCTTTTCGCATTTCGTCAGGGATTATGATCTTTGGCGACTTGTTTAGCCGTGCCTCGGCCTTATTACTATAAATCCAGCTTGGATGTCTTCTCTCGTTTTGGTAACCAACAGAATAAATAAATAAATAATACTATACAACACATTAAAAACAAATTTTTTTTGTAATTATTTAAAATATTCTACTTGTTATTATAAACAATTGTCGATACAGGATAAAAAAAAATATCAAGGTACAATAAAAATATCGTTCAATGTTGTTTCTTCGGCTTTTTTCTTTTTTAGGACTTCTTCTGCGAATGCAGATATAATGCTCCAAACTCTACTATTTGAAATCATTTTGGCGCCCATGTTTTCCGGCGTTAAAGGGCCTAATTCGTCCTCCACTTTTTGCATATCCAACCAGGACAGCGTGTTTTGGCATCTTCTTACAAAGGAAGTCATCGTAGGCGATGTTCCATAGGTCTGGGCCTAGTATAGAGCCTGGTGTCACTCCGGCTGTTATCTTTTTTATCTCTTGTCCAGCTGTGGTGTCATATAAGAGTTCTCTACCTTTGAAATAGTTTTGAATTAATCTCTACAAATAGCGTGGGATCATGAACCTGCTTCTCAGGGCGTCTAATATATCAGACCATCTTGCTGAGTTAAACGCGTTCTTAACGTCTAATGTGACTAACATGATTATCTTGCGGGAATAGTGATTCTTTTGTTGTTCTGCTTCGAATCTTCTAACAACTTCTGCGACTGCGCCGATCGTCGACCGTCCTTTTCGGAAGCCGTATTGTCTCTCTGACAGACCGCCTAAGTCTTACACGGCTCGCGATAATCGCGTTTTGATTAGTTTTTCCAGTAGTTTTCCCGCGGTGTCGAGCATACACAGCGGTCGATAAGCTGAAGGAAGCTTTGGATCTCCTTTATCCTTACTGACTAGAATCAGCCGCTGCATTTTCCATCTGTTAGGGAAGATACCCTTGGTTAGACAGTGGTTGTACATGTTCAACAATATTTCCGGGCATATTTTGGTCGCAAGTTTTAAAGCTTCCGCAGGGATTCCATCTGGTCCCGGCACTTTTTTATTTTGCAGCGTAGTAACAGTCTTCTTTAGCTCCTCCAGGTCAGAGATCGGAGTCTCATCTTCAGGTACATCCAGGACCGGATCTTGTTCTCTGTCTGTATGAGTTGGAAATAGTGTGTCCACTATTTTTTTTGTCTCTTCTGAGTCTAAGTCAACTTTATTCGATAAGATTCTTAGTTTCTTCATTACAATCTTGTAGCCTAGCACTCAAGGATTGTTATTTATATCCTGCGTAAGCTCTTCCCACCGGTCTTTCTTGCTTCTTTTTATAGCTTTTGACAAGCGCCTTTTGGCTTTCTTATATTCTGCTTTTTCTAAGCTTGTTTCTCCGGGTTTTCTCTTTTGTTGTCGAGTTGCCTGGCAGCGGAGTCGAAGACAATTCTTCCTAATATCGGTGATCTCCTTAGTCCACCAATATACTGGGCGTCTTCTCTTGTTTCCGTGTTTATTGGGCATAGAAATGTTACAAGCTTTTTGTAAAACATGTATTGTATCCTTTGTCAGTTTTTGTAAATTTTTTGTATTTCCCATGATAGCAATTTCGTTACTGCCATCAATAATGGCTTTCCTGAATTTCTCTTCATTTAGCTTATCAATATTCCATCTAGGGGCTCGATTGTCTTCCTTTGTCGGAGAGTTCTTTATTTTGCTGACATCGAAGGTGATGTACTGGTGATCGCTACCAGTATAGTTTTCGATTACACTCCAGTTCTTAACATCCCCAGAGAGTTTTTCACTTATTAGCGTGATATCGGGGATTGTTTCAGCATAGCCTGGTCTTCGGAAAGTCGAAGTGTTTCCTTGGTTTGCGATCACCAAGCCCGTCCTAGCTGCCATTTCCAGAATGCAGAGGCCTCTCGCATCTAATTTGTCCATGCCCCAATCCGGTGCTTTAGCATCAAAATCTCCGCCTATTACAAAAGATCCCCCCATTTTTCTAATAAAGTCTTTCATAGTGTTCAATTTCTTCATGAACTCGGAAAGGCTTTTATTCGGTGTAAGATAGCAGCTCACAATTGTGATGTCTCCGTTGTTTATCCAGGCAAATCCATTTTCCGCTCCGTGGCTTTTGATAAAAATATCTTTTCGGTTGGAGATCCAGATTGCTGCTGTTGATAAATTATCAGTAAACCAGTTGCTTTTATTATTTGTATACTGTTCACTGATGAGAACTACGTCAATGTCTAATTCTATTGTAAGCTGCCCTAGAAAAAAATTACACGTGTAATTACACGTGTAATTTATAGGGGAGGATGGGTCATGAATAGTTAGGTAAGACGTTTTCGAATTTAGCGACCAAACCTGAATTTTTATCTGCAAACGAGTAGTATTTTTGGAAAGCCTGGTTATTTGGCAATAATTTATTTCAAATATTTTTCAAAAAATTACACGTGTAATTTATAGGGGAGGATGGGTCATGAATAGTTAGGTAAGACGTTTTCGAATTTAGCGACCAAACCTGAATTTGTATCTGCAAACGAGTAGTATTTTTGGAAAGCCTGGTTATTTGGCTATAATTTAATTCAAATATTTTTCAAAAAATTACACGTGTAATTTATAGGGGAGGATGGGGCATGAATAGTTAGGTAAGACATTTTCGAATCTAGCGACCAAACCTGAATTTGTATCTGCAAACGAGTAGTATTTTTGGAAAGCCTGGTTATTTGGCTATAATTTAATTCAAATATTTTTCAAAAAATTACACGTGTAATTTATAGGGGAGGATGGGGCATGAATAGTTAGGTAAGACATTTTCGAATCTAGCGACCAAACCTGAATTTGTATCTGCAAACGAGTAGTATTTTTGGAAAGCCTGGTAATTTGGCTATAATTTTGCTATACATTATTTTGCTGTAGAGTGCAATCCCTACGAGATACGAATGAAAAAGTAAAAAAAAAATTTCAACTATCCTTGCCCCAGTACCGGGGCAAGGATATTTAAAAGAATCCAAATGCTAAAATTGTCATAGAAAATCAGTAAATTTTCGGTTTCTTTATTATATTGGATTTAGACTATTCAATATTGATATATCAAGTATTAACAACATGTTTTAAACATTTTCTAAATATCAATTATTGCATTAAAATTCGTCTGAACTAGAATCTGAGGTTTAACCAATTTTCTTCAGATGATAACCAATTTCTTGGTCAATAAGCTTCTTTTTTCGTATATAATTACGTACCATTATGTATATCAACATAAAAAGAACAATTAAACATTTTTTAATAATTTGCAGTCGCATTAGCAGGATTTTATCGAGCCGTAATAGCTCTAACTATCCTTGCCCCATGAGCCCATATTTCAGTTTTTTCTAAATTTTAAGGAACGACGTTAATTAATTTGAAAATAAATACGATATTCGTGTTTAGCAGGAAATTTCACTCCGGAAAACACTTACGAAAATAACTTTTCGGAAGCACTAATATAGAAAACAGTATGATAAACACTACGCTGCCATTTTAGCAAAACAGACTTTTTACAAAAATATACTCCTGACTTCGCAAATGGTGGCAGATTGAATTCCAATTTTTCCTATCATCTATTGGTGTTAAGATGCAAATATACCATGAATGACGCGAATTTTAAACAAGCCGTCTAAACATAACAGCAACTAACTATCCTTACCCCTTAACTATCCTTGCCCCATCCTCCCCTACGTTGATATTTTTCAAATATTTTTCAAAAAATTACACGTGTAATTTATACTTTGTTATTTTTCGAATATTTTTCAAAAAATTACACGTGTAAAAGTTTAAAAAATATTCGAAAAATATCAAAGTAGGGCGTTGTCCGCAGTGGCGAGACAGCCGGTGTGGCGAGACATTAGGATATCTCAGACAGCTGAACTGACTGTGCTGGCAATATGATACATACGTTTTTGATGTACGAAATATCGCTATACTGTTAATAACAGTTTCAAGATATTTTGAAAGTTTTATTTCCCATCGGTATAAGTGATAATATATAAAAATTTCCGAAATTTTCAGAAGGGTTAAATGTTTTGAGTCTTTAGTATTTAAGTTTCCTTCAAAATTTCCAGAGCACTATGAATTATTGTTCGATGCATAGGATTGTACATCGTCATTACCGAAAAATGCTGTTTCCGCATTGGCGAGACACTTGTTGTCGGCAGTGGCTTTTTTATATCTAATAATATTGTACATGTCCTAATGAATTTGATATAATTTTTGTACGTTTTGTCGACAATATTTTTCATAACTATAGTTTAAATTGAAAAAGATGAACAGGAAGAAAAGCTTATTTGTTTTTAGTAAATGTGACGTGGATTAGCGGCTCACAATCAGAAAAATATTTACCTGTATTTTTATGATTGAATGAAACAATATTATGATTTAAAGGCATCAATTATTATACTCTTTCTCTTTGATTCCTTTGTTTTTGTTACGTTTAAACGATGAAGACTCTGATTTTAAGATAGTGTCTCGCCACTACGGACGATATTTTATGTCGGTAGTCGCGAGACATTATCGTAAAAATTACACGTGTAATTACATGTGGGCAAATCTACACGTGTAATTACACGTGTAGAATGGGGCGAGACAAGGCTCGATAAAAGAGGAATTCTGACCGGTGAAATGATCTCCAGGAACGACCTAGTAGTTGTGAACTAGGGAAGAACATGGACGTTTAGGAGAGATGCGATCGGATCCATTATAGATCTAACGATCGCATCCTCCAAAATATTTAGCCGCATATGAGGCAAAATTCCTGAAATGTCCAAACAAAAAATTAAAAGTTCTCGAATTTAATCCATACTTTTCTAAAATGTTGTTATTGTTGGTGAAAGTCTAAAAATCAATTATTATTGAATTTAATAAAATAGTTTTTGAATTACAACGTTTTTAATTTTTGACTTTTGAAAAAAAAAATTTTTTTCAATGTACAATATTTATAAGTAGAATGCATAAAAGTTAACATGTATATAATGATTTTTAAAGCTTTTTTGACGAGCTACACGCTGTTAATAAAAATTTTTTTTTTTAAATAACATTTGACCTTGAAATTCAAGGTCAAAATGTTAATTTACGTTTATCTCAAAATCGGATTTTTTAAAATTATTTTTAACTATCTCAATGGAAAGCTTGACTAATTTCCTACAAAACATGTAATTTTCAGAGTGGGATCTTTTAAAGTTTTTGAGATATTAATTAATTAATTAATTATTGTTTATAACAAATGAAATATTTTACAAACGAATAAAGTTACCGTAATTCTGAAGTTAGTAATTGAAAGTTAACGTAATTCCGCATCCAACGAGCCCTATATGAAGTATTTTGGATAAGTAGATTGTTAATAAACAATTAGTTAACATTGCAATTGTTTATTAACAATCTACTTATCTAAAATACTTCATATAGGGCTCGTTGGATGCGGAATTAGCTTAACTTTCAATTGGTTAGTTTAGATTTACGATAACTTTATTTGTTTGTAAAATATTTTATTTTTTACTAACAACAAGCATCCAAAAGCCCTATATGAAGTATTTTTGTTCAATTTTAGTTAAATAACAATAAAAAATGAAATATCTTACAAACAAATAAAGTTATCGTAAATCTAAACAAACCAATTGAAAGTTAAGCTAATTCCGCATCCAACGAGCCCTATATGAAGTATTTTAGATAAGTAGATTGTTAATAAACAATTGCAATGTTAACTAATTGTTTATTAACAATCTACTTATCCAAAATACTTCATATAGGGCTCGTTGGATGCGGAATTACGTTAACTTTCAATTACTAACTTCAGAATTACGGTAACTTTATTCGTTTGTAAAATATTTCATTTGTTATAAACATTAATTAATTAATTAATTAATATCTCAAAAACTTTAAAAGATCCCACTCTGAAAATTACATGTTTTGTAGAAAATTAGTCAAGCTTTCCATTGAGATAGTTAAAAATAATTTTAAAAAATCCGATTTTGAGATAAACGTAAATTAACAATTTGACCTTGAATTTCAAGGTCAAATGTTATTTAAAAAAAAAAAAATTTATTAACAGCGTGTAGCTCGTCAAAAAAGCTTTAAAAATCATTATATATATGTTAACTTTTATGCATTCTACTTATAAATATTGTACATTGAAAAAAAATTTTTTTTTCAAAAGTCAAAAATTAAAAACGTTGTAATTCAAAAACTATTTTATTAAATTCAATAATAATTGATTTTTAGACTTTCACCAACAATAACAACATTTTACAAAAGTATGGATTAAATTCGAGAACTTTCAATTTTTTGTTCGGACATTTCAGGAATTTTGCCTCATATGCGACTGGCGGGTCTCTGAGGGTTATACCGCAAGTGACCACCAGTACATCGAGTTCTCAGTCTCAGTGGGAGACACACGAGGAGGCAGAAGACTCCTAGTCGAAAAAGCCCCTCGTGGAACACTAAGAGACTCGACAAGGAGAAGTTCGGGCAGTCGCTTCTAGAAGCCCGCTTAATTCAAGAGTTGGGCTGGGTAAGGAGGCCGAACAGTCTTGATGGGGAAGTGCGAGCGGTGAGAAATATAATCATCACCGCCTGCGATGCGTCAATGCCGCGTCGCAATGGCACATTCCCCAAGAAGAGATTCTTGCACCGGTGGTCAGAAAGGTTGGCCTCCTTGCGAAAGGCATGTTTCAGAGCAAGAAGGACATATACCCGATCTAAGGGAGATTCATTGCTCAAGGAAGCATACAAGGAGGCCAAAAAGAACCTCAGCAAAGAGATCCGCGCGTCGCGACGCCGTAGCTGGAAGGACCTAATCGAGGACGTCGAGAAGGACCCATGGGGTCTGGCTCTTGGAATTGGAAGCAGCAGGCAGAAGATTGAAGACAGGCAAGGCGCCTGGAATCGATGGGATAATGGGATAAGTTTCTTATGATGACTTCCTGAGAATGGACCTGCCCGAAGGTGTGGTGGTCATCGGC